TCATTCTGTTAGAACTTCAGTGTTCAGCTCAGGTGCAGGAGGTTCTACTGGGAAGCAGAAAGGCCTCCACTAGGGCAGCATACCTTGCCAAGTAGAGGAGGTTTTCTATTTGATATGCAGAATGAGATCTCTTCCCCCCAGGAGAGCACCCATCCCAGTGATATTGGATTATCTGTTGCATTTACGAACACAGGGCCTAGCACCCTCCTCTGTCAAATTTCACCTAGCAGCTGTGTCCACTTTTCACCCAGGGTGTTCCCAACATAATCTGCTTTAGGAAAGGGTTAGACAGGTTGTATCCATATTCTCGCTTACCTCTACCCATTTGGGACATTAACTTGGTGCTCAATAAACTTATGGGACTTCCCCCCCCCCCTTTTAACCAATGGCTGAGTTCCATGAAGGTGCCCTTCCTGGTGGCCATCACTTCAGTGAGGAGGTTGTCTGAGCTGAGAGCTCTTTCCTTGCAACTGCTGAATACAGTTTTCCATAAGGACAAGGTGCAGCTCAGGCCACATCCAAACTTTTTGCAAAAGGTGGTCTCCCATTTCCATCTGGGTCAAGATATCTTCCATCCATTTTTTTATTGGAAACCACACTACAGTGCTAAACAAAGGGTGCTGCACGTACTAGACGTGAGAAGGGCTTTAGCTTTCTATATTGATCATACAAAACCATTCAGGGAATCCACACAACTGTTTGTGGCCATAGCAGAATGAATGAAAGGTGATCCGGTCTCTGTACAGTGTATGTCATCCTGGATAGTATGGTGCATACGCACCTGTTATGATCTGGCAGGGGTCGCACCCCCACCAGTCACAGATCGCTCGATTAGAGCACATGCCTCATTGATTGCATTTGTGGCACAAGTCCCCTTTCATGAGATCTGTAGGGCAGCCACATAGTCCTCTATACACATGTTCATGGCCCATTATGCTATCGATAAGTTTTTCAGTGAGGATGCAGCTGTCAGGAGGGCAATGCTCCAAGCTATGAATCCTACCTGCGATCCCACCTCCACGGGGTAGCAGCTTGGGAGTCACCTGATTGGAATTGATGTGAACAAGGTCTTGAAGGAGAAAAGACAGTTGTCTCTTCATGTAACTAGTGTTCTTTGAGATGCTTTGTTTACGTCCATTCCAACATCCACCTTCCTTCCCCCCTGTCAGAGTATTTGGCAAAAAGCAACTGAGGGAGGGGTAGGGTCAGCAGTGGTATATATACGCTAATGTAGTGGCGGCACTGGTGGGATCTCCACAGCTAACTCTACAGGAGATGCTAAGGGAAAACGTTCCAGTGCTCGTGCACACAACACATGTACACCTGATTGGAATGGACATGAACAACACATCTCAAAGAACACCAGTTATGTGAAAAGGTAACTGTCTTTTTCGTTAATAAAACTTGATGTAGCTATCCATGTGGAAATAGATATTTCTATAAAGAACTATCTATGGTCGAGCTATTTTGTACAACCAAAAATAAAAAATCATATTGAGTTATCTGATAACCACTTGGGAACAAGAAAATGCATATCTTATTGCTTGTTCTGAGTTTCACCATATGATATTACTTTATCTGTCTGCATGATCTGGTGGTAATGAGAGTGCAATTGGATATAATGGTTACATAGGAAATAGGTGATGATAATCCATAGGTCTTTCCAAGAGAGAAGCTTAGATACATGTAGAAAAATCCATAGACGCTATGAAATTTCACAATAGGGCAATGATTGTAATGACGTTTGTACTTTAAATGAACAGCCAGTTTTCTAGGGCATTGCTAGCAAAATTATGTGTGTTTCCTCGCATGGAAGAGAAATATATTTTCCACTTTCCATTACATGATATCCCCATCCTCCATTACATGATATATTACTGTGTAGAATGCTTCCTTCTTTACTCAGAGATGACACATCAGATCACTTGTAGTAAATTATATGTAACACAAAACAACCCTATTCACACTTCAAAGTGAGTGTAAACTTTAGGCAATGCTGAATTTAAGATTGCCTTGGCAACATATATAAATCCTTGGTTATACAGAAACACATATTCCTCTCTAACTTTAGTATATCTTCACCTGTATGCTTTTAGGAAGTGTGTAGCATAGCTGTAGAAGTAAAATAAGCATTAATATATATAGGACAAGAGATTAGATTTACATATGTGTATGTGTGTTTGTATAATACATCTAGTTATTACATAGACTATAATTTTATTCTATAATCCTGTATAGTGTTGAAACTGTGTACTTTTTGCTGCGTGATTATACTGTTTTCTTTTTTCTGAGGTAGACCTAGGAGTATATTTTGAAGTTGAAAGAAAAATGTCTATATATTTCATATATAAATATTCTCAGTGTTAATCTGGGTTACTTAAACTGTCATGTACATTTTAATACAAGTTGGAAAACAGACATTTTCATTTTACATTTATCCATTTGTGGATTTAAGTATGCAAATGCTTATTTTGTATGCAAAATACACTTTTTGATTTCAATTTAAAAGAGACCCATATAGGATTCAATCCGATATGTTTCTCTAACTAGTTTATTAAAAGCTCTTTAACCTCTCCTAATCAGTGTCAGGTTCTTATACTCTCAGGGCAGGTCTACACTGAACGGAAACCTCAAATCAAGATATGCAACTCCAACTACATTAATTACATAGCTGGAGTTGACGTGCCTTGTTTCAAGTTTCCCTGCCATCCCCACAGCAGGAGGCCAATGGGAGCAAATACTCCCGTTGATTTACCTTACGCCTTGTAGAAGCAGGAGTAACGGATGCTAATGGGGGCACCCTCTCAGTTCTATGTAGTGAGTCTTAACTAGAGTCACTAAATCAGAGCTACTGAACATGCGGCCCCTGGGCCACATGCGGCCTGCAGCCGTAATGTCGTTTGGGTTACACGGAGCTCAACACATGGCCTGCGGGTGGGAGCCAAAACAAAAAAGTAATCAATATAATGGTCTTCCATTGATATGCGTTTTAGTAGTTAAATTCCTGGACTGTCATTGCTCATTAAAAGTGCTATCATATGGGTAGAAATCAGGTAAATATTGCATTTTATTAACATCAGCAGAACTGACTTAAATGGGGCCTGTGTGTTGTCTTGCCTTAATCTTTGTATTCATGCCCGTCAGTGTGAAGGAAGCTATTTGCATATGTACTTGCATGTATATGCAATCACATTTAAGTTGTGGCCCTTGGCATGTGCTGTAAGTATCATTGTGGCCCCTGGGGCTTCCAAAGTTGAGTAGCCCTGAACTAAATCAAACTTCAGAAGATTGATTGTGGTGGCATCAATCTTCCAGGTTTTAGTCATGAAATAGTGCCATACTTCGTTCAGGGTACGTCTGCACTAGCCCCCTAGTTCGAACTAAGGAGGCTAATGAGGGCGACCAAAATTGCTAATGAAGTGTGGGATTTAAATATCCTGCGCTTGATTAGCATATTCCTGGCCGGTCGCCATTTTGGAAACTGACTAGCCCGAAGTAACTGCCCGGGATTCCGAGATAAACCCTTAGCTCGAATTAACTGTTACTCCTCGTGGAATGAGGTTTAACAGTTAATTTGAACTAAGGGGTTTATCTCAGGATCCCGCTTCTCTGCCGCATGTAGACGTGGGCAGTTACTTCAGGCTAGTCAGTTTCCAAAATGGTGACCGGCCAGGAATATGCTAATCATTAGCAATTTTGGTCACTCTCATTAGCCTCCCTAGTTTGAACCTAGGGGGCTAGTGTAGATGTACCCTCAGATCCCACTGGATCTGTTTGAAAAGTAATGTGATCCTCACTCAGTAAGGGTTCCTGAACTCAGAAGGGCTCTTTCAGGAAAGTAAAACAGCTCTGGGCTGTGTCATTTCTGAATTAATCCCCTTAGGGTTGGTGAAGGGGACAATGTACATTCCAAAGGTAAAAGTGCCACAGCTCTGCTATCTCCCCTAATATGTATTCCAAATACTCAAGTGCCCTCCATGACATACATGTTGGAATGGGTTGAAATGATACTATGGAATAACAGAACTCCTTTTTTTTCCAATATGGAGTGGGGACACCTGCACATGAAGTTCTTACATTCCCTTGCTTGGTAGTAAACAGTATGTTTAGGCTTTGATGTCTATGCTGAATACCATGGTGTTTTTTGATCATTACCGTGTAGTCAAAAGTATGCACTGCTTTTGCACAAGTCAATTTTTGAATGTCTGGCCTGAGACTCTGAGTTGTGTGTGCCTGGAATATTCTGAAAATCGGATTTCTTTTGGAGACCTCAGAGAACTCAAAATCACAAGTAGGATTTCAAAATCTTGGCTGAAATACCCAGTAGCCCCCATCAGAACCAAGACCTCATAATACTGCATAGTGTATACACACACATGAGAAGATATGATCCATACACCAAAAAATATTTAACTTGTACTCTCCTTAAAAAGAATGAAAAACTTGAGATAAGATTTAACAGATAATATACAGTGTAAATTTCCAAAATATGGGAGAAAGTTTATGTAGCGTTTATATGTGGTTACTATGTCATTTAAGTCATAAAAATTGGATGGGCCATATTTGCATTAATTACTTTAATGGAGATATCCCATAGTTTTTATTCTTCTATTGTTTTTTGAAATTTTTACTCATTCATGAAAGTACAATTTTTTTTTTATATTGGCCCCTGGTGTCTTTACTTCGATCTCTGCATCTGCTTTTTATTTGCCTTCTAGAATATTTTACACTGAGCCTGGTGTTAATATTATTCCATTTTTTGGCTAGTGTGGAGTAAAGTCCTTAAAATCCATGCAGCTGCTTTCTTCTTCCTGTCCAGTACTCAAGCTCTTATGAGTGCTAATCTCTCTTTCTGTGTATCACTCAAAAAAGTTGTAAGTAGTACCTGTCATTAAAAATAAAGAAGATAAAAGCAAAATTAAGATTCAGCTGCTGCATGTTTTCATGTGTATTGTCACCCTGTTAAAAACAGACACTAACTTTTCCTAATCTTGCTCCAGAACCAGCTGATTCTTGGAGTTATGGGAGTTGATGTCTCTCTTGAGGACATAAAAAAACTGACACCACGGTTTACAGTAAGTTTCCCTCTTTTGGTGGTATTGGCTATTTCCTTTCATGCATGAATTCTTTGCATGCACTTTCACAGGCCATATAACTGCGCACTAGATGGGAGTCAGAAGATCACCAGATTTCCTATAACCTATGCTCTCTTTTTCTCTGAATGCTTTAGAGGGTGATTACTTCTTCTATAGACAGTATCAGCTGCTCTACAAGATGGTCATCAGGATGGAACTCAATTGCACAATATGCTTGTGTTCCATGAGCCTTAAAATTAGCAGATCTTAGATCATTTCATAATCTAGGGTAGCCACATGAATGCTGTCATCCACACGTTTGATCTAGGTCACACCTGGGCAAAATATGGCCCACAGGCCTGATCTGCCCCACCAAGCCCCAGATCCGGCCCACGGACTAAGCGGGAAGCCTCAGGCAGACTTACTTGTTTGCCTTACAGCCCAACACATCACTCAGAATAGCATCTGTGGGATCATTTCTCTTTAAAAACAGTAAGCCTGGTGGGGGAAGGGGAAAGCTTAAAGTATATCTCACGCCCCCAGCACAAATCCATTGGCTGGCTTCTGGCTAGAAACTGGCCAATAGGAGCTGCCTGTTTGAATAACAGGCAGCACACAAATCACCATGCCCCCTGCCCTCCTGCTCAGTAATTCACACAAGCACATGGCCATACAGCCTGGGCAGGCAGGCAGACTGAGAAACTTTTTAAACTCTGCAAACATTTAGCTCTGCAGGCAGACAGGCTGGTTGGGCTGCTGGCTGGTAAGTCTCCTGGCAAGAGCCTGGCTCTGGCACCCCAAACCTTATCTTCCCCTACCCTCTACCTCCACCCCCACTCAACATACCCAAACCCTCTGCCCCCTCCTGCACCCATGCCTCCTCCCAGATCTGGCATCCCAATCCCCTGCCCCAGATCACAATCCCCTCCTTCCCTAGGTTATAACCCAAACTCCTGCACCCCAGTCCTCTCCCCTAGGTCACAAACCAAACCCCTGTACCCTAGTCCACTTCCCTAGGTCACAACCCCCTCCTGCCCTAATTCACATTCCAAAACCCTGCACCACCATCCCCTGCCCTGGATCACAACTGCCTCCTTCACCCAAACTCCCTCCCAGACCCCACTCTCCCTCCTGTACCCCAGTCCCTTACCCTAAGCTCCCTTCTGCACCCAACTTCCATCCCAGACCCCTCACCTCCTCTATTAATAACATGGAAGAATGTGGCCCTCGACCACTTTCCAAAATCTTCGAATGGCTCCCCATCAAAAATTATTGCCCACCCCTGGTCTAGGTAGTCTTTTTATTGCACTGTACACAGTGTATCTTCTTTATTAACTTAATACACTTTTCTTCACCTTGCATATTAGTTTGCATCATGTTAGCAGGTATCATTTATATCCCATATGCAGAGCAAATATTTAAGTAATTAATTTATATTAACATTGTTGAAAATAAAAGCCATGGAAATAAAATTTAAAAATCTTTCCTATATTAGGTGAGTTTGATGTCAGATTATCACCACCATCTTAATGTATGTCAGCTTTGCCATAAGCTGTATATTTTTCACATTCTGAATATTATTAGAAAACCATAACTAAGCCTTTTTCATTCAACTAAGCCTAATTAACAGTACAAATCTTTTTTTCTTCTTTCAGCTGTGCCCAAATGGTTACTATTTTGCAATTGACCCCAATGGTTATGTGTTACTTCATCCAGATCTTCAACCAAAGGTATGAAAAATCTTCTATTTTGTGTCATTGTAGCTCTGGGATTCTTATTTGACATTAAAGAAGCACACTGTATTTGCTGATTAAAGTGCTACACCTCAATGGTGAATATACCTATTTGAGATTTGATCCAAAACTCACTTTAGTTGATAGAGCCCGCACTCAGTGATTTTGCGGGGATTTGGCCTTTGATGTAAAAAGAAAATTAAAGATTCCACTCTTACATCATTATTGTCAAGTATGTCATTTGTTACTTTAATAATATAATGATAAATAGCTTGTGATAACAGCAGCTAACTGTGATTCTGAAGGTTATCTTTTTTTTCAGGGGAGCAGGATTGTCCCAAAGTGACCCTCATGAATTAGAGGCTCAGAAATGGAATCCTTAAGAGTTTATTTCTGACAGTGTTTAGTTTGTTATTTTTATTCTTTGGGAGCTACTGTAGATTTAGATTGAAGAGGAACTTTCATACTGAAAAGAGCTTTCAAACTTATAAATCAGACTCAAAAAGCAATAACTTTGTTTCTTTTTTTTTCTTGCATTTTTACTAATTACTAGGGTTGAGATCTGATGGAAAATTTGTCCAAAGGGGTTTGGGATAGAGCGATAATCCAGCTATGTGGAATTTAGATTTAGCTTTAGATCTAATCAGGATGTACATTTTCTCAAAGTTTGGAGATGTTCAGATCAAAGGTTTTGATTTGTGCTCATCTCTGCTAATTATGACCCTGATCCTGCAAATATTCGTGTGTTCCACAGCTTTACTCATTAAGTAGCCTCACAGATTGTAATCAGACTTTTCACATGAGCAAAATTATATGGTATATTTGTTGGATTACATCTTTAATTTGTGTTTTAACAAGATTTTGCTCCATCTTAGTCAATATTCTCTTCTGTTTTAAAGAGCAAAGCCAGGTGTCCTAATCCAATAAGAATATTTCAGTGAGTTTTATATTATTTTTCACTGGAAACATTTTTTCAGTAAATATTCCTCCCACCGTCTGCAATAAACACACTACAACATTGCGCTACTACACCCAAAATTGCAAGTAGGGCTGTCAAGCGATTAAAAAATTTAATCGCGATTAATTTCGTGATTTAAAAATGTAATCGCGTGCGCCACCCCTTTGAAACGCCACAGCAGCATTTCAACAGGCCAGCACTGCATGGAGCCTGGGATCAGCTGATCCCTGACTCCACTTGTGCTGCCCCTTTGAAGCACCAGAGTGGCACTTCAAAGGGGCAACGCAGCATTAATGCCTGCGATTAACACATTAAAAAAATTAACGTATTAATCCTGTCCTGAGTTAATCGTAGGCATTAGCACAGGTCAATTGACATCCCTGATTGCAAGTCAAATTAAATAGAAATTAAAGAAATGTAAAAATGAACAGTCCAGGCTCAGAGAAATGTATAAAAAGCAAGGGGGAAAATCAACCAGGATAAATAATGAAAAGCAAATTAGATTTTTAGATTTAATATTAAAATTGCTATTAACTTTGTTAGGACAATTGATGTTTACATATATGGGTGAGATTCTTAGTGGAGGGAGAAATGGGAGCTAAAGTGCATCTAGGCCTCTCCTTAACTGACTGCATAATTTAACCCTGGGGAAGCCCCTCCAGCTACCTACAAGCTATAGGATTGCTTGGAAACAGAGCAGCCTTGGCCTCAATATACCCCTTCCATCCTGTGATATCAGCTATATCAGGGGTTGGAAGGTCATCGTTGGAAGTCTGCCTTACAGCTGTCTTCCTCAGTACCTGCACCAGTGCAGTCCCATTACAGATAGAGCCATGGCTCTAAAACCCCCTTTAAACTTTTTCCAACTATTTATCTACTCTGGAGGGTACCAAGGATATGTGATAATCTTATCTGAGATTTTCAGTGGTGCATTTTATCTTGAAAGGTAATCATCACTCTAAACTTGTCATCTGAGAATTTTTTATGTGGTGTAATTAACAACAAATTTTAAATTACTTACCAGATCTAACAGAAAGGGGAATTGAGCATGGATGGAAAGATCATAAGTTAAACATAATGATCTCTAATGATAGCAAAGGGAAAGAAATAGAAATGTCTGATAAAATAAAATAGATTTATAAAACTATTGCTTTTTGTCTATATTTTCTGGTTTACAAATTGGACTTAGTATGAAAATTCCTGTGTAAAAAGAAAAGGGAAAGTTGGTTTAATAATTTACATGCAATTCAGCTTAATGGATACATGCATTAGGCCTTTGATGAAGCGTAAAGGACTCCCTTAGTCACCTTTCATTTGATAAATTAGCATGTTGAATAGTTCTCAAAGAAATAGCAGTTCACTGATGACATGTATTAATTGCACAATTACTGGATGATTTTGTTTTCATTAGAGGTTATTAGAGGTATCCTAACAACAAAAGGGTTGAGGCAGGTGTCTGCCATTTCCTATCTTGTATGAGCTCTTTGTTAAAGAGAAAAAAATTATGCAATGCATTGTCCTATTTGGATGCCAGTCTTGCTAGCTACTGAGCACTCCTCTCTCCCACTGATGTCTCCCTTTACTGATGTCAGTCAGCACTCTGCAAAATTAGACTATTTTTTAATGAAGGTGCAAACTTCAAAATTCTCCAAATGAGGTCAGGCTCTTGTATACATGCCTCCTGATGAAATGATAGGGTAAATGAAATAGTTCTTAAGAAGGGACTTAGCAAGTATAAAAAAGTAAACAATCATGATGTATTATACAACCAACATTTTTGTTGCTGTTCCAGAACTTTAATTTATTGACCTACCTTTTTAAATATAGGTTGAACCTCTGTAGTCAGGACTCCCTGCTTCGGCAACATTCATGGTCCTGCAGTACCAGTGGATGTTCCAGGACCAGAGAGTCCTGGTAGATGGCTGGTGGCTGAGCTCCTCTACAACTGGACTACTCAGTTCCCCATAGCTGGACCGCTAGGTCCAATCCAGCAGGGCTGCCTGGTGAGCCCAGGAGCCCAGCGTGCTACAGCAAGGTTACCCAGTGAGGCCAGAAGCCCTGTGCACAGGAAGCTGGGCTGGATCTGGTCTGCCCGGCTTAGCAGGGAAGGGGCGGGGGAACTGTCAGGGCAACAGAGCTAATGGTGGGAATGGAATAGGGAGAGGAGCCAACCAGGAGGCCGGCAGCCGGTCCAGAGCTGGGAGGAGCGGTAGTAGAGGGACCAGATATGACCTCCCCTGGTCCAGCAAAATCCCTTATCCAGGACCAGTCAGGTCCCGAGGGTGCTGGACCAGGGAGGTCCAACCTGTAATATCATATTCACCAAAGCTCACCTAATCTCATGACTGTAAGACTGGTTTTCTTGGAAAATCCCATTCATTTTCAAATATGGATTCATTTTCAAAATATTCTTCAGTTCCAAATAGTCAGAGTATGGATTTTGTTTAATTAAAGAGGGTTAATTAGTGCAGTAAAGATGACTAGAGATATCCCTCAAGTACTACTTCAGTGGTTGTTTCAGAATGTTCTACAATATTTATAGTTTTATATATGATATATTATGTTGTTATGAATGTGCAAACTGAGTACTAAGAATGCTTCCATCTGTGTATTATTATTATTATTTATTAACAGTAATACAGATTAGACTTTATCACTGCCAGTTTGTTTGGTGTGGTGCATGCAATTCAAACTGATACAAGAACTGCCTTCTCAAACTAAGGTACACTACAAAGACAGCTGGTATAGAACTTCTAATTGTCTCTTAACACACTAGATTAATTTTTAGTTGAAATTTTTGATTGAACTTAATATACTAACCAACAACATGTTAACCCTCTTTACCAGAAATTGTTCAATAGCTGTATACCAAAACATAGCTACGCATTTGCCTTTGAAGAGGTGAGAGTGCACTAAAGTGTCATTAGTTCCTTCTTCTCACAATGCCTTTTCTTTCCTTCCTAAAATCTGTTATCTAAAATCAAAACTTGTTCAGCATAATTAACATTTTGGAATATTGTCTTATGGTTACAATGCACAAACCAAAAACCCCGCTCTTCACTATGAACTTGTGAGGTGGTTGTTCTGACTTTCTTGAGAAAACACCATCATTTATGTTACACAATCTACAAAATCATATTTTTAACAAAATATAAATTCACTTTTAATCTCACATACATGATTTTTTTAAATGAGTTATATCAGTTTCTAAATAGTAATTTACAGTTTGTCAAATATATATATATATATTGTCACAAGCAAGAATCAATTATCCCAAGAATTAGATCTAATCATGGAAGTCAATGGAGTTACACTAGAATAAATGTGTCTCAACATATTCAGTCTTAATAGGATACAAATTCAGGAATAGACAATAAATAAACCCCTCATTCTACAACTGATATCAATATCCTTTTATCTGACCCAGACCCTTCATGCTTAATGCTCCCGTTGACTATAGTGGACTTAGAGAAAAGTCCTACGTACTTTAGGCACTTCATATTATATATATATGTTTGTTTTGTTTTTAAAAGTAAAACAGAAGGCTAGGTGGTTTGTTAGGGTTAGGAGCAAATATGATGTGTGAAAGGAATTTTTTTTCCTGTGGTCTACTAAAACTCTGGCAAAATGTACCTATTATGTACATGTAGAGCTCTCTTTGAATTTAATTAACTTGGTTTACCATGGTTTGTTTGTTTGCCCAGCTTGTAACACGTGACACTAAGGGTACATCTAAACTACACCCCTCTGTTGGCAGAGGGATGTAAATCAGATGTATCAAAAGTGCAAAGGAAGCCAGGATTTAAATATCCTGTGCTTCATTTGCATAATGGCAGCCACCCCTTTTTTTTCGAAATGGGGCTTTTCGAAAAAAACCCAGCAGTTTAGATGGGATATTTTCGACAGAAATGCCCCGTTTCAAAAGATCCTGTACTCCTTCGAAAAAAAGCGGTGGCCCCTGTTATGCAAATGAAGCATGGGATATTTAAATCCTAGCTTCATTTGCACTTTCAATACATCTAATTTACATCCCTCTGCTGACAGAGGGGTGTAGTTTAGACGTACCCTAACAGAGAACTCTGAAACTACTTTACCAAAATGAGCTTAGTCTTATTATTTCAGGAAAATGCCCATTCGAGAAGAGTAGATCTTGAGGGCTGAGTATAGATAATACATAATTAACTGCATGTTAATGGTGTGAAGGTATAAATTACTGCTTTTCTATTACTTCAGCATATTGGTGTGGGCATACCAAAAGTTAATGTGAGAAAAAGGAGACCCAGTATCCAGGTAACTGTGGATGGAGGTGATCATTAGTGCGTTAAAATGCATAGAGCTGGAGATAAGATTTGGAAAGCTTCTGCCCTGCTTAGTAGGAAGACCCTAACTGGGGAACTGTTTACTTTGACAAACAGCTTCCAAAGCATGAGACTTGCATTCTTCTTTGTTAAATGATTATTGAAGGTATCTGTAGATGTTCATTTAAATTATGATGCATTACTAATAGCTGCTAATTAGAGCTGTGCTGTAAACGTTCTTCCGACTTGGAAATGAATTTGCAGTTTGAAAAAAAATAAGAGACTACTTGTGCTAAGTTTGTTTTCATAACCCTGAAAGTCAGGGGAAGATTGTTTGTGAAATTATTGCCAAGTCTTACTGCACCGTGTGTGGTGTATAACAACACCCTTGTGGAATTTTGGTGATTTGTGTAGCTTTCTACGTGGAAGTCAAAATGTGGTGCATATGTAATCTGTCACTCGGAGCAGGTGTCGCTGATCAATCAACATAACCACATCTATGGTTAGAAGCAGTCATATTAAGCTGATGAAAGGAAATAAGTGACGTGATGCAGTTTCAAAAAGTATAAAAGTCCATTGCATACAAAACACTTATTGAAAACTGAAATATAAAAAAGAATGGTTTAACTATATAAATAGTGAGCCAAAGAATTGAATACAATATAAAATGTCATTATCCTACACATGTGGGAATATATATGTGAAGTTAGCAGCTTATGAAAAGAAGACAAAGGTTAATTAACTAGCACTGAAACAATGTGTAATCCTAGCTCCATTGAAGTCACTGACAATTCCCATTTATTCACTTAGGGCTATGATTTTATCCATGATTCCAAACTTAGCCTGATCCTGTATTAGCTTAATGTATCTGACAGAATCTGACAGTCCACATCTCCAGGTTTTACCCTTTCATGGACAGGTTAAAACCTAGACTGTTTTAATTCAAAGTAAGGAAGAGAGACTGCCATATTTTGAGAATATTCAAGGCCTGCTCCCAAAATCCTTTCAAAGCACAAAGTGCTGATGTGGAAACAACGTATTTTTATGTTGCTGCACCAGTTCTTTTTTCTTTTCTTTTCTTTTCTTTTCTTTTCTTTTCTTTTCTTTTCTCTTTTCTTTTCTTTTCTTTTCTTTTCTCTTTTCTTTTCTTTTCTTTTCTTTTCTCTTTTCTTTTCTTTTCTTTTCTTTTCTCTTTTCTTTTCTTTTCTTTTCTTTTCTCTTTTCTTTTCTTTTCTTTTCTTTTCTCTTTTCTTTTCTTTTCTTTTCTTTTCTCTTTTCTTTTCTTTTCTTTTCTTTTCTCTTTTCTTTTCTTTTCTTTTCTTTTCTCTTTTCTTTTCTTTTCTTTTCTTTTCTCTTTTCTTTTCTTTTCTTTTCTTTTCTCTTTTCTTTTCTTTTCTTTTCTTTTCTCTTTTCTTTTCTTTTCTTTTCTTTTCTCTTTTCTTTTCTTTTCTTTTCTTTTCTCTTTTCTTTTCTTTTCTTTTCTTTTCTCTTTTCTTTTCTTTTCTTTTCTTTTCTCTTTTCTTTTCTTTTCTTTTCTTTTCTCTTTTCTTTTCTTTTCTTTTCTTTTCTCTTTTCTTTTCTTTTCTTTTCTTTTCTCTTTTCTTTTCTTTTCTTTTCTTTCTTTCTTTCTTTCTTTCTTTCTTACAACAATAACACATCCTTTTCTTTGCTCAGGCTGAAAGTAGATTTGCACTAACCTTGTTTGTGTGCTTCATTTCTGCTGCTGTACTTCTGTTTAATTTAGTTGAGTTGTGCTGTAGTGTTGTAGTTCTTATACAGTATGGTTGTGTGCATGTTTGAATAGGTAAACAGAAGAACAAACTTAACAGAAGGTTTGTTTCTTCTTCATTACATAAATAAATCATTAAATAGATTAAACAAATGACAACCTAGAGGAAGGGAATTGTTATGGAGTCCAAATACCTGAGAAATAAACAAGTTTTTCAGGAGAGAAAAAACCCCACAGAGGGAGAAAAGATGGTTTTTATGGTTAAACTATTGGACTAGGAGTTAACATATCTATTCCAATCTCTACTACACATTTCCTTTGTGACTTTGGTGAGTTTCGGGATCTAATGTTCACTCACTTCAGTTTTCTTATCTGTAAGATATGGATAATTTGTATTTCATAAATATGCTAGAATAAAGTGCAAATGAATCAAGTAATTTGAGACCCTAAAGCAAACAGCAAGATGCATTTAGTGCATATTTTTGTTGCATGAATTTCACTGTTTCTTTGTGTTTTAAATCAGTCACCTAACCTCTGGGACTCCTTAACTAAGACTAGCCCAGGTTATCATTTGATACAGTTTCCGTTAATTTGATGTGATGGCTTTCTTTTACCATTTTCTTTTCTTTTCTTTCCCTTTGTGTATTGGAATGGGATACAAACTTCAAAATGCCACTTCTGCCATGGCAATGCCTTCATGCATGCTGTTTGGGTTTGATCATGCTGTTCATTATCCATTGCATGTAAGAACATACTTTTATTTGCTTTTACATTTTAGCCTTTTGCTATGTGTTATTGAGTGTGATTTTGTTGGAAAAAGTTGATGAATAGCAAAAGATAAAATTGTAATGAATTGTGATATGTATTTCATTGATTTTGCATTCAAGCTGATTAATTATATATGTTCTAGATTAAAAAGATCAGATGATTCTGTGCAGTTATAAATACACATTTAGTGGTTAATTGGCAGTATTTACCTTAGAGTGCTTTGTTCAACCCTGTCCAACGTATGCTTTCAAATATAAAAATCTGATTGTCTTCCAAGAGAATAACCCTTATTTATGGAGAGAATGAAAAACATCCATCCATCCAATAATTTGCATCTTCATTTCTCTAGAATGTTAGAGACTGATCTTACAATCTTTTACACCCATGTGAATTATATTGCACTAAAGCACTTGTATCACTGTAGCACAATCAGCAAATCACCATCCCCAGTACTCCAAAATCATTTAGATGAGTTCATTTCCTAACAAGACATACAGGACATGATTTTCTACTCTCAAAATCTGAGGGATACATCTTTCAAAATGTGAGGGATACATCTTGAGAACTTTCGTTTGTTAGAACAAAAAAAGAATATAACCACTGCTTTGAAAGACATTTAGATTTATTATTTACAGCAGTTGATCCCATGACATCTGGAAGATCCCCTTGATTTAACTAGCTAGTCAAATGGAGCTTAGACTATGTCAAGAAATAATACATTTTTCTTAGCTAATTACATCACAGGGAATGCTAGTACAGTGATGGATAAAAGTGATATCTTAAATCTTCATTTTATGTCCCATTTACCCAAAGCAAATTATTTTCCAGAAAATAAAAATAAAATACATTGAGGGCTTGTTTTCTCTTCTGTACTATGTCCGTCCCATAGTATCATGTTCACAGGGTTTAAAACTATGCCCCATAATTATTTCCCTTAAAAGACTGAACTACATATGTGCCTTACATAACTACTGAATAACCAGGATTTGTTAGGAGCTTTTACTTCAGGACTAGGAATAGTTAGAAACAGATGGTTATAAAATTATAGCTATTAGTGGCCTTTGATTTGTTCTGCCAAATTCACTGACTCTGTGCATTAAAAATCCTACACAGAGCCTTAATCCAGCAAACATATACTCATTCTTAGCTTCTGATATGTGCATCAAGGATGATCTAGTGGTTAGAATAGTAGACTGGGACTTGGCAGAGTTGGTTTTAATTTTCTGTTTTTCCAAAGACTTCCTCTTTAGGCTAGTTACTTGGCCTCTCAATACCTCCGTTTCTATCTGTGGAATGGGAATAACTACTTCCTTATCTCATAGGGGTGTTTTGCATTAGAGATTGAGGCTGTTGGATACTCCAGCAAGAAAACAAAACGAAACAACAATAAAACCCATACTGAGTCTCATTTAGATTGAAGTTACTTATATGGTCTGTAAATCACATATGTGAAGCACATTGGCTACAGTGTGTCTGAGATTCTGTCAGAATCCACTCTGCACAAACAAGTCCCTTAGGTATTCCCTTACTTTTGTCTATTGTGTGTAAAATAACTCCAGTGGAAAACTTGCTAAGTGCTGCTGATGCACAGGGTCTCAGTGCAACGTAGTGACCTTCCATTCTAAAGAACATGTATGCACAGCTATTGAGGTAGCAAACAGAATATGAAATATGGAAGACATGTTTCTGCAGGTCACAACAGTTTCTATTTTAGTTCTTTTGATGAGTTAGATCCTGGTTCAGTAAGGTGCTGAAGAACATTGAAATCAGTGATTCTAGTCATATGATTAATTTTAGATGTTTTTAGATGTGTGCTATCTTGTTTTATCAGAACTTCATTTGTTACACATGATATCAGACTTTTTGTTTAAGAGGCAAGTGAATGTTCTATAACACATTTCCATAAGAGGTTCTTTTCATCTGACCTTATCCTGTTGTAATTCCTTTCTCTTGCACTTGCTACCCCTTTCATCTCTATTGGCAATCATCTCGTGCCATTGCCACAAATCTGCAGTGTGCTGTAAGTTTCATCGTGGTAGAGTGCAGGTGTTACATATTACTAGTCACTCAGAAAACTTACATGCTAATTGTCTCCCCTCTCTTTTGTGGTGGCAGGAAACATAAGGAGTGATTCCTTGTATGACAGGTTATCTTAGATTTCTGATACTATGCTTACAATCTGTGACATACCAGTAGCAGAGGAAGCAGCCATCAATCATAACACTCTGTGACAGACCCTAACCAGTAATCACTCATCTGATTGCCTCTCTCTTTTAAAATCTATTTTAAGTGAAAAGGTAGTACTAGCAATTCGTAATGCTACATCTGATTAAAGGATAGTATGGTAAGTAATCCTATTTCAACAGTCTATATTTTTATCTAAGGGAGGTTTTGAATGATTTCCAATAACTTATTCATAATATCAAGTTAGAGATGTTTATTACTTGATTGTTTAAAATCTTGTGCTTCAGAATCGTAAATCTCAGGAGCCTGTTACCCTGGATTTTCTGGATGCTGAACTAGAAAATGATATTAAAGTTGAGGTAAGATGGACTTGTAATGTAGTACCTACTTTGAGAGATATAGCTCTGTTTATTACATTTCTAAAGGATACTACTGAACTACAGAAAATATTCAAACAAAAATGTTTTCCCTCCATTGCACTAATGCAAAATTATTATAATGACACAACTAAGTTTAAAACACTAAAATATGCAAATCTTCACAAACTTTAGCAAACTTAAAGCCCCGAAAACAAAAACAAACAAACAAATCAATCCTCCCCAACAAAATAGGACTTGCCTAGCTTATATAATCATTATAAACTCAAGTGCTAGGTAAGATTTGTTAAAGATTCATTCTTGCACAACCATGGCACATAACAACTGACTTTCAAATAGCTATGATGAAAATAGTTTTCATGAGCTTTCGTGGGCACAACACACTTCTTCAGATGGATGGAGTTAAGGGGTCCAGTTTCTGAATAAATATCAGACAAAGAGACGGAATGGTGGGGGGGACGAGAAGGGAAAAGTTTGTCAATTAGAGTGTCCATGCTAAATGAAGCTGTTACAGTGGGTACTAAGTGCTTGGTTTTTTATGTCATTAGGATGTAGAATGTAGTAGTCCATCCACGCAAGGTCTTTGTTCAGATCCCTGTTGCAGATATCAAACTTGTAAATGAAATTAATTTCTGCAGCCTCCCTTTCAAGTTGTTGTTTTTTTTCAATTGGCTTGCAATAATACGGTAACTTTGAGATCCATTAATGAGTGCCCAAGCAAGTTAAAATATTCCCAACAGATTTCTTTGTGTTACCTTTTGAATATCTGATTTATGTCCATTAATCCTTTCTCATAGAGACTGTCCAGTTTGGCCAATATACATGGCAGAGGGGCATTGCTGTCACTTGATGGCTTAGATCACATTGGTGGATGTGCAGTTAGATGAGCCTCTGATATAACCGCCCCCCCAATCCCCTCTCTTTTTGTACTATTTATTTGGAATCTGGACCCCTTAACTCCATGAATCTGAAGAAGTGAGTTGTGCCCATGAAAGCCCATAATACCAGCTACAATTTTTTGTTAGCCTCTAAGATGCGGCAAAATTATTCACTATTTTTTAATTGTTTTTCAGTTACAGACTAATACAACTCTGCCACTATTAGGCAACCTATATTAAGTCTGCATCCAAAACTCCTGTGGATTTCCCTGGGGATTCTGGCTTTGCAAAGAATAGAGGAATTAATACTCATGCTCACTGAACCTAGTCGTGCACATATTACTCACACAAGCAATTCTTACTGTCTTGTTGATTTTCCCTAGTGTCAACAAGACTGTTCTCAAGTATTTGAATGACATTGCACACAAGCAATTCTTACTGTCTTGTGGATTTTCCCTAGTGTCAACAAGACTGTTCTCAAGTATTTGAATGACAGGATTGTGTTCTTTAATGGGGGTAAGATAAAGAGGCTGTTATGGGCTATTTTTGTCAATGTGTTACTGTGATAGTATTGCTCATAAGATGCAATGGATATTGGAAAATTTTAATCACGTTGTATATAACACCAATATTCATATTTTATTTTTCTTCACCTCATATAGATTCGGAAAAAAATGATTGACGGAGAAAGCGGGGAAAAGACATTTAAAACGTTGGTCAAGTCTCAAGATGAGGTAAGAATGGAATATAGGCTGTCCTACTTTCAGGAAACACTGCAAAATTACATCAAGAAACTCCACTTTGTATTGTCTTTTGTATTTAAAAGCTAACATTCTACTTTTCCAGATAGGCTCATGGATTTTCCTGCACAAATATTTCCTCCCCTGCTCCCTTCAGCTCTGCAGAGTTTCCTGGCTTGTACTAAGGGAAAGCAATCATTTCTTAAAACAATGGGGGGAAGGTTTCTCTGTTTCTTTGGTGTGTCATAAACTGCTGCTAAGGCCCTGAATTCTGTCGTCAAGGGTTTAGCAGAGAGTTGTCATACTTCTTTACATGAATCCCTTAGAAAAAGTCTTAAACAATATAGGAATATGTTCCTTTGTAAGGCATTATATCCGGAGTGGATATGAAGAAAGTTGTGGTGGTGAGGGAAATGATTGTACAATTTACAGTTCCTAGATTAGGATTTGTTAAAATAAGCAAATGAATCATCCATACTGTTACAGCCATAGTATGGATTTAATTATAATTTGGATCTTGATGTGTTTGTGGTATAAAATAGGCTTCTAAACAACCTGTCTCGGTAGGTTAGTTTTATTTTCCAAATAGGTTGGACCTAAACAGTTTGGTCCCTAACCCTGACAAGCTTTTGCAGTAACATAAAATTCCCTTGAAGCTGGATGAGCTGGCAGCCCCCAGTAATAGGGGGAATCCATAGATGGTGTAAGTCTGTCATATATCTATGCCACATCCCTTAAAAAAGCAGTGCAGGGGGAGGAGTAATGAACTGAGAAGTCTGCACTCAGTTGAATCCTTCCTGCTAGATGAGGTCTTTGGGGTACTACAGGCAATTGTAAGTAGTAGAACAGCCTGAAGAGAGCTGATTAGAGCAATTGTGGCCCCAGAGATCAGGGGAGATCAAAAGGTCACATAGGAAAAATAAACAAACAAACAAAAAGGACATGAAACTGTATTTCTGTTTATAAATACAAACAAACTATAAAATAGTAAACAGAATAGTTCATCTATATGCAACATTGATAGCAACAACGGTGTGCTTTTGTGTGCTGTAAAACTTACTGCCCTTCACTAGCCAACAGCCTTCATTTTTACTATCTCTAAGTCTTACATTGGATAGTAATAGAGAGGTAGCCGTGTTTGTCTGATCTTGCTAAAACAAAAGGAAAAACCATGTACAGGCAGTCCCCGAGTTACGCGGCTCCGACTTATGTCGGATCTGCACTTACAAACCGGGCTTTCTCGCCCCGGAGCTCAGAGGCAGCGGGACCGCCACCTCGACCTCCGGGGGGAGAAAGGTGCTCCGGGTGCCCCTGGTCTGCTGGGGACCGTCTCCAGCAGACCAGGGACACCCAGAGCAAAGCCGCAGCAGACCAGGGACACCCGGAGCAAAGCCAGAGCAAAGCCTCAGCGGCGCGGCACCCCGCCGCATCCCCGGCTTTGCTCCAGGTGTCCCTGGTCTGCTGGAGACGGTCCCCATCAGACCAGAGGCACCGGGAGCAAAGCGGCAGGGGCGGGGGCGGGCGCCCCGCCCCCCCCCGTGTC